TCCGCCTACTGGGTTCAAGCGATTCTCCTGCCTCAGCCTTCCGAGTAGCTGGGATTACAGGCATGTGTCACCATGCCCGGCTAATTTCGTATTTTCAGTAGAGACAGGGTTTCTCCATGTTGGTCAGGCTGGTCTTGAACTCCAGACCTCAGGTGATCCACCCACCTCAGCCTCCCAAAGTGTAGGGATTACAGGTGTGAGCCACTGCGCCCGGCCCACAATCCTTTTATTAAGAATGACTGTTCTAGACTGTTCTTTATTAAGAATTACCATTCACACCTGTAATCCCAGCACCTTGGGAGGCTGAGGTAGGTGGACCACCTGAGCTCAAGAGTTTGAGACCAGCCTGAGCAACATGGCGAAACCCCATCTCTACCAAAAATACAAAAAATTATCCAGGTTTGGTGGTGCACACCTGTGGTCCCAGCTACTCAGGAGGCTGAGCTGGGAGGATAGCTTGAGCCTGGGAAGCAGAAGTCGCAGTGAGCTGAGACTGTGCCACTGACTCCAACCTGGGTGACAGAGTGAGACCCCATCTCAAAAAACAAAACAAAACAAAAAAAAGATAATAATGACAACTGTTCTAGGCTGGGTACAGTGGTATATGCCTTTAATCCCAGCACTCTGGGAGGCCGGGTAACATGGCAAAACCCTGTCTCTACAAAAAATACAAAATTAGCCAGGTGTGGTAGCGCAAACCTGTAGTCCCAGCTATCCAGGAGGCTGACGTTGGAGGGTCACTGGAGCTTGGAGAGGTCAAGGATGCAGTGAGCTGGGATCACACCACCACCCTGGGCAACAGAGTTAAGACCCTGCCTCCAAAAAAAAAAAAAAAAAGAAAAGAAAAAGAAAAAGAAATGACTGTTCTACATAAATAAAATGAATGCTTAAAAAGATAAATCACTTCTCTTAGCAAACAATAATAAAGCTTAAAAAACCAGACCAGGCACAGTGGCTCATGCCTGTAACCCCAGCACTTTGGGAGGCTGAGGCAGGCAGATAACGAGGTCAGGAGTTTGAGATCAGCCTGACCAACATGGTGAAACCCCGTCTCTACTAAAAACACAAAAATTAGTGGAGCGTGCGCCTATAATCCCAGCCACTCAGGAGGCTGAGGCAGGAGAATTGCTTGAACCTGGGAGACGGAAGTTGCAATGAGCTGAGATCATACCACTGCACTCCAGCCTGGATGACAGAGACTCTGTCTCAAAACAACAACAATAACAAAAAACAAGAACACTTTTCTGTGAATTGAGCCCTGAATACACTGTTGGTGGCAAGCTAAAATGGTACCTTTCTAGAGTACAACTGAGCAACCTGCAGCAAGGAAATTTTATCTTCCTGGCCAGGTACAGTGGCTCACGCCTGTAATCCCAACACTTTGGGAGGCTTAGGCAGGCAGATCGCTTGAGGCCAGGAGGTTGAGACCAGCCTGGGCAAAATGTCAAAACACCATTAGTACAAAAAAATACAAAAAACTAGCCAGGTGTGGTGGCACATGCTTGTAGTCCCAGCTACTCAGGGATGGGGGTGGGGTGCTGAGACAGGAGGATTGTTTGAGACTAGGAGGTTAAGGCTGCAGTGAGCCATGATCACGTCACTGCACTCCATCCTGGGTGACAGAGCAAGACCTTAACTCCAGAAAAAAAAAAAAAAGAGGAGAAACAACAGCTGGGCGCAGTGGCTCACGCCTGTAATCCCAGCACTTTGGGAGGCTGAGGTGGGTGGATCACGAGGTCAGGAGTTCGAGATCAGCCTGAAACATGGTGTAAGCCATCTCTACTAAAAAGACAAACATCAGCTGGGTGTGGTGGTGAGCGCCTGTAGTCCCAGCTACTCAGAAGGCTGAGGCAGGAGAATCGCTTGAACCTGGGAGGCGGAGGTTGCAGTGAGCTAAGACATGGCCACTGCACTCCAGCTGGGCGACAGAAGACTCCGTCTCAAAAAAAAAGAGGAACAGCCGGGCGTGGTAGCTCATGCCTGTAATCCCAGCACTTTGGGAGACCGAGATGGGTGGATCACGAGGTCAGGAGATCGAGACCATCCTGGCTAACATGGTGAAACCCCGTCTCTACTAGAAATACAAAAATTAGCCGGGCGTGGCGGTGGGCACCTGTAGTTCCAGCTACACGGGAGGCTGAGGCAGGAGAATTGCTTGAACCTGGGAGACGGAGGTTGCTGTGAGCTGAGATCGCGCCATTACACTCCTGCCTAGGTGACAAGAGCAAAACACAGTCTCAAAAAAAAAGGAATTAATACCAAAGAGAAAAAAAGTGATTGTTTTCAGAAGCAGGTATGAAAATCATGCCCAGAATAGAGCACCTGCAAAGGCATGTGCAAATGAGAGACAGTCAAATCAGGGTGGCCCTAGGGGAATTCTGTGAGGCTGACCCACAAATATAGACCACTCAGAGAAATACTGCAGAGACCAACTGAAGGGGTGGGTTTCAGAGCCTCAGTTATAATTTCTCACCAGCATCACTCAGCCTTTAAGAGGTGATGTGTGGGCTCAGAACCATGCTATATAGCAAGCACTGATGGGGAAGGAAAAAGGAGTGCATATCCCAAGACATAAGCAACAGGAATAGACTTCGGGGATCCCTATACAAGTTCATACCTTGTTCTTGCTGTTGAAGGCCAGAGCCCGAACTTTGCAGTTGTCAGGGTTTGTGTCCTCTTTGGGGATGTCCTTTAAGGCCTTGTGAGTGATGTGTGCATACACAGGGACCCGCGACACATTGTGTCTTGCATCACTTTTGGTCAAAACATCATCTGTCACCTCCCAGAGTCCCATAGAACCATCACGTGAGCCTGCAGGGCCAGGAGAACACAGATGTCAGATATACCCACCCCTCTATGGGAAATCCCACAGATGCCAAAGTGGGCTTTCAGAGTCTAGCTGTGCATCATCCTCATATGTGCTGAAGCTTGGCCAGATGGCCCACCCTGAACACAGAGCAGTAGACATTTTAATAGCTACGCTAAGAGAATTATTCACTTAAGGTCTAGGCATTAAAACATTTAAGTTTGACATGGTTGTTGAAATTTATTTTTTATTATTTTTTGAGAGAGTCTCGCTTCGTCACCCAGGCTGGAGTGCAGTGGTGCAATCTCAGCTCACTGCAACCTCCGTCTCCTGGGTTCAAGCGATTCCCACGCCTCACCCTCCCGAGCAGCTGGGATTACAGGTGCCTGCTCCATGACTGGCTATTTTTTTTGTATTTTTAGTAGAGACGGGGTTTAACCATGTTGCCCAAGCTGGTCTTGAACTCCTGAGCTCCAGTGATCAGCCTGCCTCGGCCTCCCAAAGTGCTAGGATTACAGGCATGAGCCACCACACCTGGGTGGCTCATGGGGGGACAGAGTTTCACTCTTGTTGCCCAGGCTGGAGTGCAATGGTGTGATCCTGGCTCACCGCAACTTCCGCCTACTGGGTTCAAGCGATTCTCCTGCCTCAGCCTTCCGAGTAGCTGGGATTACAGGCATGTGTCACCATGCCCGGCTAATTTCGTATTTTCAGTAGAGACA